TTATTATGATTCCAATTGTTTGGTTGGGTGGAATCAAAATCCCATTCCCATTCTTGTTGGAATGGCATTCCCCCATTTGAGGGAAGGGTCATTCCCTGCTCCTCCCTTGGGAATGAAATCACATTCCTGCTGATTCCAATTTTCATTCCCATTCCTGTCAGAACCAAACAGACTATGGGAATAGACCATTCTGATTCTGATTGCAAAGGATTTCGATTCCGATTCTAACTACAAACCAAATGGACCCTAAAATGTAAACAACAATCATTAATTGGGTTAAACACCAATGGAAGGTGGTGCATACTGTATAGAGCTGGTATGGACCACAGGATTGGACATGTGGCTAATATAAAGGTACCATAATCCAGTGAATGTTTTGGATTTGCCAAATGATTGGTACATATGATAGAAATAATGCCTGTGTAGGGTGTAGGATGTTCCCTACTCRACTCAATTAGGATATCTAAGTTCTAGAATTAATGATGATGCAGAATTTATGTTGGGAGGGGGGGTGGATTCAGTTAGGTCAGTGAATGTCAAARTTAGAGCAAGAGAGGGGCATAATGTCAAACTGTAGGTAAGAAGGGGTGAATGACCAATGACATGTGGCGAGAGGGACACTGGTCCAAGGTTTTCCACATGCTACAACAGTGCCTCCCCCCACCCAAAAAAAAAAAAAAAATTTCTGGGCAGTGAGCTGATGAATTGATATCCGATAGTTCAAAACAACTTAAATCTTTCTTGATGACATCCATCATCAATAACAATGTCATACTTACCAAAGCTTCAAAAATATCTAAAGAAACCCATCTGCTTCTGCAAACCACAAACAAGTTAAATAAAAAGAAATAGGGAAAAAGGTTTTTCAAAGTATTAGAGCAAAAATTAGAAAAAAGAAATAAATGACTAAACAAATGTATTAGATAACACAGAAATTCAAGGATTAAACAAAAAAACTCAACCCAAAAAAAATATCATACTAGAAGATTAATGCTTCATAAAGATGAAAGGAAAAGCCAATGAGTCAAAAATTTAAGAGCTACACACACAAAAAAAAATACATATGAAGAAACCATAATTGGGAAAACAATAAATACATTAATGACTTTTTTAAGATCATCTTTGGACTTTGGTTTGAGAATAAGTTCATCTATTAGTTCCCACATTGGATTAAAAAAAACGCATTTGTGGTGCATTACTTGTGAGCATGCTCAAGGGATTTTTTTTTTTTTTTGGAGAACAGGTAAGTATCATTTCATTAATAAAATAAAAAACCCTTTGTACAACCAGGCCACATTTATTGGGCAGAGACTCCAAAATGCAACACAAACACACATGAATATGTGAATACCTAACCAGCTACATTTATTTTATTCTGTGAGTGTACCAGATGAAAGGGTTCTTTTTTAGTTTCTTTCCTGTCTCACTAATTATAGTTTTACTGTTTGCAGTGTCCATCTATTTGTGATCAACAATTAAATTATTTTTTCCATTTAGTTTTATGAAGAATGGTTAGCTATGTTCGTGGTCCTAGATTGTCCTTAGTAACATGTTGGAGAGGCATAAACTTTATATATTTTGGGGTTCAATCTTGGATTAGCTACACAAGGAAAACATTGATTAGATTTGGATGCATATTTGAAAGTTTGTTTTGGGCCCTAGTTCATGCTTGGACATTGTTGTGATGAGAATTATGATTGTCATACTCTCTAAAAACCAATTCATTGGAATTCGGGGTTCTTAATTTCTGCTTAAACTATCATTACAAGTATTATACAATCTCACAAAAACTAGATGTCAGAAAGCCTCTTTTTCCATTATTAATAAGTTCCGCTATAATGAGGCCATGATGATCACATTTTGACAAAGAAAAAACTGGAATCCGTTCGCACTTTACATGCTAAATATAAAACATCAGAAACTCTTCCAAACGATAGATTATGGGTTTCTGACTTTTAACAAAGACAACAAGTGCTCAAGACCTCTTTTAAAGCAGCCGTCTTGTCAAGTGTCGAATAGCAAAGAGCAAGCTTTTTACTACAAACCTGGCCTACAGATAAGCTAAGACATGCCGCCCGGATCAATGTACTATAGTTAATCAAAGCTTCAATTTACCAAGCAACTCCAGATAAAATGAAGTGAGAAAAATCGTCCACAGAAACAGAGATAGGAAAAAACAGATGGCGGATTACCTCCTTTAATGTGAATTGCTCATGAATAAAAAGCGCCAAAACAAAGCTAACGAAAACCAGAATATAATGCCGAAAAGTGTCAAGCTCCTTGTCATAAGACCGCTTAACGACGCGATGACTTCGCATGCACCACACAATCGCTAGAGAACTCGCTACGAAGACCACCTTCATCACAGTGTTGTAAACAGAGATGAAGTCGGTGAAGAGATCCAAGTACCGAGACAGGAACACCAGCGCGTACAGCTCCTGCGTCTTGAGCGAAATCCCTAATTGCAAGAACAAGATTCGAGAAGAAGAAAAATTCAGCTCTACCACCTGATTCAACTTAACAAAAAACCTAGAAAACACTGAGCCGAAGACCGTAATTTCCAGTCCAAATGGAGAAATTTGCGTCACCTGAACACGATTTGGTAGCGTAGATTTTGAGCAGCAGCACCAGAATACTGATCAAATGCGTCATATCGCCTGCAAGTCGAAAGATATTCATGGCTGCAGAGATTGAATCCACAGGTTCCGTGCCCAATATTTCGAAAATCGAAAGTGAATGAACGAAAAACGTCAGAAACGAGGAAGATTGAGACTTCTTCGAGACTAGAGGTAGAGGGAGGATGGGGGAATATAGAAACGTTGCGCAATTCGCATTGTGTGCTTTTTCTTCGTACAGAGTGGGGGGGAGTGAAGAATCTGACGTGGCGCTGGAACAACGGCTCTTGCCCCGACGGAAGCCAAACTCAATTTCCACTACAATCCCGGGAAAACATTTTTATTTTTTTACTTCATTAAAGAGGGAAAAATATCTTATGCTGTTAACTTAGATCATCATTGATAGTCCCGTACCCCCAACATGTAGAACGTTGATTTATTGAGATCTTAACCCTCGGAGGATTGGAAGGAGAAAAGTAAAAAACCTAGCGAGGGGTGCCCGTACTAAACACGGGCGAATAATACAGAATAATTGAAATAGCAAAAAATGAGAAAATGAATAATATATAGGGAGAACGATGGTTCAGCCCAGGGTCAGAATTTGTAGGTTCAAAGTACTGTTAAATAGTTGCCAGTTCGAAATTGATGCCAATTTACGGCAGCCTTGATGCATAGAATGTGGATTGTTGACATTTTGAATATTTATAGATCTGAAGTGAAAATAAAAAATCTGCATTGGGCCTGAAATCTATTTAATTTCTTTTATTACAAATATAATGTTCATGCACAACTCTTTTAGCGTGACCTTATTACAAATATATTATTCATGATGCAAGTAAAATGAATAGGACCCAATCCTGGAAATGTAAAACATGAATAAATCAAACAATATAATTACGGTTTGGAAACTACTAAGGCACATGGTAGCAATATAACTCAGTCACCCCAGGGCAAAATATATTGATTATGCAAAGTTCTAATGGCCTTGTCCGCTTCTTCAAAGGTTGTATATTTTATGAAACAACATCTTGTAGAAATGAATATTCATGACTTGATTTTATTAGGATATTCCATGTTCCACAAGTTAGCTTCGTATCTGGCTCTATGTGTGTGTATAGTTGGAATAAGGTTTAGATGGTGATGATGATGATATAAAATATAATTGTATGTAGGGGTGTTTACGGGTCAGGATTGGATTGATTTGAGTCATTTTCTTCAACTGGCCCAATCTAGTTGGTTTGTTTATTGACTAAACCGAAACTGACCAACCCTAAAGCAAAACCAACCCAAACATGAAGGGTCAGTTTGGGTCGATTTATTGGTTTAGTCAATTATGTATGTATATATATACATATATATTAAACAAAAAGATTTATTTCTAAATATCTATTTATATTGAAGTTTATTTCTTTTCAATTTTTATGCAAAATCGAAATATATGTTTAAATCGATTAGTTTTTTATGCAAAAATGATTTTTTTTCAATATATATTTAAATTTATATAAAACTGAATTAAATATTATACCATTGTATTATATTTGTGTTGGTTTTACGTTTTTAGTTTTTATCATAAATAACCAATTTTTTTTCAAAGTTCAAACAAACACAAATAAAATATATCAACCTTTAACGTATAGGGTAGGGACTAATTAATAATTACTTAAGCAGTTAAACATATAGGATCAGTTTGGTTCGGTTTGTATGAAAACCGAAACTGAACTGAGTTGTCAATGTATTTTTTTCATACAAATCGAAACTTACCGGTGGTTTTAAAAAACATCCAACTCGGGTTGGGTCGGGCCGGTTTGGTCGGTTTGACATTTAATGTGAACACCCCTAATTGTATGTTAATTATAAAATAATCTACAAAGTAAAATCAATAAATGATTTAATAACCACTTATACCTAATTTTCATAAATATGACAAGATTTTGAATAATCCCCCTAATTAAATGTAAACACATACACAAGGATTAAGAGGCCTAAGTATCACTTCTATGTAAAAGCAGATTAACCGGAAGTGGGTGGGAAAAGGGGGTATTAGGAATAATCATTAAGTGTTGTCATTTATATGTTTATATTTGTCCTACCTTGCTATTTGGTCTTGTAGACAATAAATATCCAAAAAGCCTAGGTAATCACAATGCATTTGGGTGTTGTCCCAAACAACTGTTGACTTACTAATGAACTTCTTAATGAGGTTATGAGATATCAAGATTATTACTTTTATAAATAAAATTGATGGGAATAAAAAGTATCATATTTTTATCCTAAATATTCATTCTTTTACATTAAATTAGCACTTAATTGGACTCATTACTCTTGTATTTTGATTTAGGGCAAGCAAAAAGTCGTTAGGAGCAAAACAAGGCTAATCGGATGATTTTGCATAGTTTTGGCACCGTTCAGTAATCTAGGCATAACTCTCACATCGGAACTCCGATTGGGATGATTCAAGATGCATTGGAAATATAAGGAAGAACTCTAAAACTTTCATATTTTGGGTTTTGATAGATTCGGTCTGCATCAAGGTCAAAATCGGGCCCGAAATCGAAGAAAATTCGTAGTAAAGCCCAGTTCACAGCTGAAGCCCAATTCGCATAAAAACCTTGTAGCAGCCCAATTTATTAAAGAAACCCCACTCGAATTCAAGAATAAAGAGTCCCTTCAGATTTAAATTTCAAATGTAATTCTAGAAGGATAAGAAAATTGAGATTACTAGATAAGAGATATGATAGGATTAGACCAAAACTTATTAGGACTTTCAATTTTTGAGGATGATCTCCTAAGAAGAGTTGGAGAGATCCCCTCCTCCTAAAGCTATATAAAGGGGGGGGGGGGGGGGAACCAGCTCTAGAATCACTCAA